ACAACCTAAATGCTTACAAAGTCATAAAATCAAACACTTCTTTGGCAAATAAACAGTTATCAACTTTTAATTTTGTTTTACTAACGTCAATTCAAATAACTGACAACTGTACCTTTATACCTTAGATCCTGAATAGCTTCTTTCATAATCAAGTCCTTTTACTCTCTCACAATTTTACTTACTCATGGCATGTTATCACTACTTTCAAATACAAATTCGTAATAGATAACTAGTCAACGTGTTCGTCTATAGTGATTCTTATATATACACTGAATATACTTAGATCATTTATTCTATCAACACAGTAATTATACTCCATACCGCTGATATTTAACAGCGTTTTGCTTATTCAATAAATACCAGTGATTTGTTTTTTTCTCTTAATTAACGACGAAATAATGGTCTACTATTCTTGGAATAAAAACAATCTTAATGATTTATAAAGTCTATGTAATTAATCTTTACATAAACAGTAAGTGGTGAAATGTTGAAAATTATGTCTGAAAATAATTTAGTTTATTGTTTTCCAGCTATCCTTGATTGCATAATGTCTTTCAACAAATCAGTTTATGCCTAATAATTATGTGGTATATGTTACTTATTTCTGTCGACATAAGTAATAAGTAACACCACTGAGAAGTGGAATGCCTGTCAAAGAAAGTTGAGAAGATTGAACTGAGAAAACAAGCAGAAAGGACTTAAGAATTGGAAGAATCATGAAGAATATAGAGGACAACTGATAGAAGATTTGCAAATGAATTATTCAATGTATAGTTTACACATTTCACGAAAGAACTATAATTTTGTAATAAACAATAAATTAGTAATCCTCACCAAGTCTTCGTTCACTACATTTAGACTTATTATTTTTTTGAACACATAAATATTGGTACAAGGGGGCACCAGATATTTATGTGCCACAAAAAACAATTAGAATGGGAAGAGAAAAGAAAGGTAAGGTGCGTATAAGAAAAAAAAGAAGAACAACAACAACAACGACCACAGATTAGTGTATAGTGAGGTAATAATAATAATAATGGGGGAATTAGAAAGGTACAACCAGAAAGAATTCCGTTAGTTAAGGAAGTTACAACCACTTTTTATGGGGAAAGTAAAAAAAAGGTTACAGCAGGATCGCCACTGGCTTCTATTCTGAGCCATATCTGATAACGTCTCTAGCCAATGTGTTGCACCATCTCTCGAGCCCCAGCTAGGGAGTCGTGAAGGGCCAACAGAAGCCAGCCCTTTGCAGCTTTCTTTCATACCACGACACCATATCAAACACTGACCACCTCTCCGCTTTTTCCAACTAGTCCCAGCGTCGGCAAATAATGCACATCGAGAAATTATCTGGGACGACATTCGTAGACTTACTAATCAGAATTTTCTTTAATTGACTATATTAATTTACAAGGTAAATGTGATGCTTTTATTACCGGAATAAGTTTACTTCACTTTTTAGCTGCAAACAAGTTCTGTAGTAAAACATATAAAGAATTAGGTGAACAAATTTGTCAAACTATTCCAATAGAAAATTTACAACAAACAGTAAGAATTATTGAGAATGTAAATTAACATATTTTTTTTCTTTTAGAAATTGATTACTTCTGAAAAAATATATCTTAGTCACTAGCCCGAATAGGACGAGACGTGCATCCTGGATTCCACTGCTAGCCACTATCCATCTTTTCCTATGAAAAATTTATTGAATAAATTTGTCGAGCAACGATTTTGATCTGCATATTAAGGTCACTAGTCATTTTAGTGTGGAATACAACTCATATATAGCTAACTACGAAATATATCACAGCAACTTACTCTGAATAAAATGTTGAAGATATTTTACATTACGAAGATTTGCTTAATTTTATCTCTGTATATTAGTATGAAGTGTTGGTAGATGATGTGATTTTATATACGTTCATTTTGACAATACTGATAAACAGAGTCACTTCTAATATATGAATAATGCTTATATGATTAGATGGATCGAATGACTAAGACACAGTGACACTTCAATGATTAAGTTTACTATGTAGTACGAAAACAAAATGTAGGAAGTACCACGAGGATTGAAAATGGAGTTAATAACTCAAATGAACAACAGTTTATTGTCGGTTTGTTATTATATTGATTATTTTCACATCTCTAGGTGCTACTCTCTAGCAGGAGAATATTTTGTCAACCGATGCAAGTGTGAGGTCATTTTTCTTCGAATAATCACATTTCTTATGTTATGGCTTCTTATTAGACAAAAGTATAAATCTTTCGTCTATCCGCTAAATAAAATATTTTATAACAACAGTTGGGCACGTTTTCATTTTGTTGTTTCATAGAATTATAACTGGCTGTTCGCATAACAAATTATAGAATCTCTGCAATTTGCAACTTCCGAATAAATGAGCTTCATTTTTTTTCAGTATGCAAATTATTTACGATCGTCACTGATTAGAGTAATTTGTGTATACTCGTTAACTATTTTGTCTACATGATGTGCCGGTCAGATATTAAGGTATAATTACTAAGTTCATTCACTTGTCTGTCTTGTCATCTTCCTAGATGACTGATAAACGTATCAGATATATTTCGAATAAAGTTGGATTTTATTAATGTTTATATATTTATCAGTTTAGCAGTCACCACACTAAATTGAAGCAAGTTTACAATTAAGACAGTTGGTGTGGTGACTACTTTCAAAGTATTATGAACACCGTCGCCTAAAGTTTAATCAAGGACTATTTTTAATCTGTATGTGAAGCTGATGTAACTGTAGAAGACTGGGTTATTATCAATTAATATTCCACATTGTATGGATTGGATAGTTGAATACCTCATGTTTTGATGACGTTGTGTGTGAAGATTAGAGTGAATTATATATACGCTGTAACATGAATCGTTATAAAATGGGATGAGCAAATGTACAAATAATGAATCCTAATTTGTTTGCACTTTAACGGTCTCTAAAATTCAATACTTCAACAAACAACATTGTCTAAGCGTCCTATTTGTATATGCCTTATTTTGGCTGTTGTAATAGAATAATTGATTTAAATTACGAATTGATATTAGTTAGATGACTAATGAAAATCTGAAAGCACTGGACAGTCGTTTCGTCGCTGTATGGAACTTCTCAGCAATCCATATCCACCGCTTCACTTTGAATCCCCGGTCTCGAGTGTGAACGGTTCACTTCCACATCACTTCACGTGATGTATGATACTTATGTTCACAAACATAAGTAATATGTAACACAAATCAGAAGTGGAATGCCTAGTGGCAGAATGTTGTGGAGATTGAATTGGTTACAACAGTAATGTAAACAGAGAGTAGTTGTCATAACAATAAGAATGAAGGAATGACAAAGTTCGTAAAAGTTAAATGACGGAAGATGTGCAAATGAAGTATACATTGTATGGTTTTCATAGTTTACGAAGACATTCCGTAATTTGTATTAAGCAACAAATTAGTTGTTTCCACCAAGTCTTCGTTTACTACAGACAAACATTTAACTCTATTATTACTCTACCTCAATTAATTCCCGATCATATTCAAAAGTGGTCCGGTTAGATTCAGTCCGTGATTGAAACTATGAAAATTTGGCAAACTCCTCGAATCTTTGCATAATTGTGTTTACTATGTGCACGTCGTTCACTAGCTTTTTGATAGAGTTCCCGTAGTTCTATTGAGAAGCTATTATCAATAGAGTTCAATCACTCCAAGTGTGAGATAGTGACCATCCTCAGGAGATGGATAGTGGTTGCGCAGTCTCATAAAAAGACTGAATTTAGACCGTAACGCCACTAACCGCCATTTTGTAGGTTTGGATTTGAAGCGTTTACATGGGAAACCGAAGTTTCAGAGTTCGATTCCCGGAAGCAAAGTCAAGAGTATTCACTTCTCAGAAGTCTCGTACTGAGACGAAACGAAAGTCGAGTGCTTACAGCTTTCCAGTGATGGTTTATCAAGAACCAATTAGTGATCGAAACATGAAAATTACAGATTTATTAACGTGTAGTCTTTTGTCAATTTTGTAGAAAACAATTGTTTGCTCAAATATTTTACATTTTCAAAGATGAGTACAAAAAGGTGAATATGTTTAACTTAACAAAAATTAAACAATATTCATTGGAATCATCAGATATATGAACTAAAACAGATCTATATATTTAAACGATATTGATGTGTAGACACAAGATCATATTTCATAAGTCAGTCACCATGTATCAATGTCTTGAAGAGGAATTTATTTCAAACAAACTACAAATGAATTTTAACTTAAATAAATAATGTAACACAAATATAAATACAAATTATTTGCAATACAATACGAATTGTGATTACATTAAACTTGTTAATATTGGGTAAATCATGAAACAAATCACCAAAGCTATACAGAGTTAGATTTTTGTTTCACATTTACACAGAATTTTACCGTGTATTGTCTAATTGAAACGTAATTTTGCTAAATCAATACTTCTGAACAAATCGTTTCAATTAAATGAACTTTTAAGGTATTCATGATCCATTCACTTGCTTTATTTTCTTCGTCATCTTTGAATTCGAATTGTAGTGAACGAGAACTCCAGTGGGGACAGCTGAATGTATTTAATACAAAATTGCAGGATCTCTTAGTAAAATCTGAAAACCATACAGGAAATATTTTATTTGAAAAATGTCACTCAGTTGTCTCAGACTTCATTTTTCCTTCGCTTCCACACAAATCATTCTCTGTTCTCGTTCTCTTCTCTTCGATCTTCTTAACTCTCTGTTATCCGGGACTTCACTTCTAAATAATGATACATACTACTTGTATCTGTCGAAATCAGTAGTACACACAACAACATGAGTTAACAAACAAGACAGTAAATTGTGTTTTGGTGTGGAATAGTCATTTTGTCTGATATATATATGTACTACAGACATACTTCAATATCCAATAGATATTCACCCAAACTAATCGAATTTCGTATATACGGGAAATCATTCAAGATTAACAAAGACTTAATGAACAGATTGTTCTAATGCATAGATCTGTCATAATTCTGATATTATATATACTAATTTATATCGAATGCATTAAAATTGGATCATTCAATATTCAAGTATTTGGACGAAAGAAAGTTTCTCAAAAAGATGTTTTGAAGGTATTGGTCCAGGTTTGTATGGTTGCTTGAGATTCCAGAAATAATACAAATTTCTAGATTTTATCTAGATATGATTTAGTTGCTATTCAAGAAATTCGTGATGCCAGCGAAACTTCATTCAAACACCTCGTCAATGAATTGAATGAGTTAGCGCTAAAATTATTCAGTGTCAACTTAAACTGCGTATTTTTAGATATGCGGGTGGTATTTACAAATCGAAATTAAGTGAGAAACTTGGTAGAACTCAGTCAAAAGAACAATATGGACTAATCTACAAGTGAGATTTTGAAGTGCATATAAAATTCCTACTTGAATCCGAATAATGATGAATTATAGTTCACGTGGTTTTTGTGAAAATATCTTCAGCTCACTTGGTGATTTCTGTTTTGTGTCTATGATCGATTGTGTAATGTATATTAAGAGTAAAACAGTGATGCATAGACGATATTTATTATTTTACTACATTATTGACATTGTAAAATAACAGGTTCCTGTTCAATAGCTTTAATGCTCTTTTGTCACAGAATATGAATTTCCTGAGTTTTGAATATTTATTGCAGAAAAGATCCTTACAAACTGTTCGTTAATCAGTGATTTACCAGCCTAAAGCGATTAGTGTCTATAAAAATCAGTTCAATAGGAAAAGTTATCGTGATGGTCACTAATTGTTTTCTTTAATTAATAAAAGCTTTTAAAATTAGATTTCATGGTGATAGCTTGGAGGGAATTAATTACATGTCTCAGTTCGCAGTCACACCGTTGAGAAATACTTATTTGTATCTTAGGTTACTTGAATACATTTTTACGTTTGGTGAACATAGTATTTTTTTATAAATATGTTATATTGGGCAAATGTTCTTTCTTTTTGTTAAGTAGTAATTGATGGATTTATGTTGACGGTTGCTGAATATTCCGTCTAATATTTTATTAGTTTGAAATTCCCGCATAGAATACGTTTTTACATGGTAATAATTGTGACACCATTTTTGCGGCTCAACAAATCCCATCAGAAAGTTATAGAAGGGCGATGGATATTGTAATTCCAGAAGTGATGTGAAATACTGATTTATTCAGTCATTCTATTAACCGGGTACATACAACTCGTCCATCGTTTTCAGATTTTAGGTTCAAAATATGGTTTGGTTAATATGGAATCATCGGTGAGAACTATGACACTTCATTTCCAATACATATATAATTATTTTCATTCTTGGATCATAAAACAATAAAATAGTTTAAGATAGGTAATCTATCTTGCTTTTAATATTTTCGGTTAGGACCCTGATTAGGTCTCTAAACATTTTGACGTAGATTAAATATATGTCGTAATTGTAAGTTGGAGACTGGAAACCGTAATCAGTTGTTATTATTACCCTGTAACAATTATTTATGATTATTAATCAGTTGTTATTATGACCTTTATATTTTTAATTTTTCCTCATATCTGCTAAGTAGACAATTATCTCTCATAATTCTCATCCGTAAGTTATTACCCTTCCTTCTATTCTTCTCTAACCCCCTTATTGTTGCGCGACCTCGTTCGATAGTTAGTCTCCAATCCCTTTATTACGCAATCTTTTCTATCCTTTTATAGACATATATTTACCAAACAATTATAAATACATATTTACAGCTTAAGTAAATGAGTTCGTCGAAAAGAAAATCTTCCTCACTGAATTCTCTTTGTTTTTAAGCTAAAGAGTTGGAGACTTTTAGTGATACAAAAATGTGAATCAAGCGATTAAGCCTTATTTTCATGCATGAATTTATTTACCACTTAAACAGTCTTCCACTAAGTCACTTAGTCTAGTGTTTGATGTAATGTGTTTTAACATGTTAACCAATAGTTAGAAGTCAAACCATTTTCGTGTTTCTTTCTGCTTTAGGTTTATATTTATGTTGGTTCAACATAAAGTAGTGTTCCTCATTTCCTTGCTCATGATACAACATAGTTTGGAAAATAAAAAGCTTTCACTCTTTAATAATCATCAAATCATTTAAAATGTATAAAAATATAACGTACATTTCACTGTTCTTAGGCCTGCTCTATTTAGGATTGAAGAAATGGTAATATTTTCACATCAGAAAAATCTGTTCGAAAGACCACCAATGGCTGTACAAATATATATGAAACATTCTGGTACATTCTAAGAACCTTTATTAATTTCGCTTATATTTTGCCTTACAATTTAAGCCGTAAATATGTTTGGTTTAATTGTTGTACATTTGGATCCAGACAGTGTTGTTCAAGAAGCTAATCAACTTTACGCTTTTGCTAAAGAAGTTATGAAAATGTGGAAGACACAGGTTAGTGCAATCAACTATCTGCTATTCACTTTTGCTTATTGACTTATATATACCTAATCACTATACTTGAGTATAAACTTAAATCTGGCATTTTGATCAGTAACTTCTTTTTGCTCACATTTCTGTAATGTTTCGAAAACCATAATCATCAATGAATTTTAAAAAATTTTACTGATTGGGATATTACGAATATATTATTTTTCTTAATAAAAATCTACCTAATAGTCAGTTTATTGGAAACTATCAAGTCAAACCTTGGGACTGATACCTACGAACTCATAATTGTCACATATTCTTCCTTTTGATAAGAATTTCTGATTTATTTATAAGCTACCTTTATTTATACGTACAGATGATGATGGAGCCTCTGAGCAATATGCGTTATTAAATGAATTTATTCATTTCAGCAATCCAGAACTCAAATTAGTTTATAATAAATATGTTTTTTATTATATATCAATGAGTAAAAAGATTGTATTTCTGACGTTTCGTGACTTGGTGTAAGCCCTTTCTTCAGAGAAGCCGTGACCAGTGGAGCTAATTCATGTCAGGTAGAGGTAGGTATCTCTCTCAGACGATAGTAGGTGGTCGCGCGATTTCGTGGATTGATTGAAGCTAGACATTAACATCGTTGGATGCCGACTCAGTGGTCTAATGGTTAAGTGTTTGCGCGTGAGACTGGTACGTCTTGGGCTCGAGTCCTGCATGTGGCATCGTGACTGTCCGCTGCTGAGGAAACCCATACTGGAACGAACCAGCCGTCCGGTGCTTCCAGGTCTTTAATGGTGGTCTAATATCAATTGATTCATGATCTCAAACAAAAATCTATCAAATCAGTTTCTTTAAACAAGTTAGCACATCAAATAATTCGGAAGTAAATCATGACTATTAATTATAATTGTATATCGTTAAAAATGGTCAAATATTAATATATTATACTGGGCTTTTTTTAAAAAAGTCACTCTATCGAAACTTCCATAGAAGTGATAATTCATAATTGTTTCGTTTTATAAACCTGTAACATGTACAATCAATAAATCACATTTATGACAAGGTATGTAATAATGAACGTAAGTTTATTTCAAGCTCATTTTCTTCAACGCTTATCCAATATTAAAATTTATATTTCTATTCAGAATCTTATTATTTTGGGTGATATGAATGCTGATTGTGGTTATCTATCCAAAAAGAAAATGTTACAACTTCATTTACGAAAGGATACAGAATTCATTTGGGCTATTCCTGATAAATATGATACAACTTTAGGTAAAGGTGATTGTGCATATGACAGGTAAAGTTCTCAAATTATTGTTTATCATTTATTTTGATTATATGTTTTAAAGTTGGTATTCGCTAAGAAATTATGCATGTTTTCACAGGTTGAAATCATGAGTCAGTTGAAGCTAGACCACCATTGAAAACCTGGAAGCACTGGACGGCCGTTTCGTCCTGGTATGGGACTCCTCAGCGGTGCGCATCCACGATCCCGCACCACGCGGGGCTCGAACCCAGGACCTACTGGCTTCGCGCGCGAGCACTTAACCACTAGACCACTGAGCCGGCATCCAACGGTGTTAGTGTCTAACTTCAACCAATCCACGAAGTTGCGCCACCGTACACCATTGTCTTCAGTGAGTTGTTATCTCACAACAGACCGGTTGAACTCCAATTATGCATGTCATAAGTATTAATCATGGTTAAAATTCATTGGATTTTGTTTTCCATACAAACATATACGTTTACTAGTGTGTATATTTTATCGTCACTATTTGTGATATATAGGAACATAAATATCACTTTGTGAATGAATTGTACTAATTATCAGGTTCTAGTAACAAATTTTCAAGGTTACTTTCATGTAAATTATCAGGAATCAGACCAAGTGAACGAAAAGTTCACTTCATTTGGATTAATACACTAGATTTCAGCATGAGAAATATTAAAAACAAAATATTTGAGTGAACGATTATTATGTCACTATTATATTGATTATGGCTTGACACTTTATTACAAGATAGGCGGCCTGCTTGAGCATTTGGGTTGCCTGTTCCTGCCATTTAGATATTTCAACAAATTATCTATTTTTGTTTGTTTTAATATATCATTATGTCTATTAATCGCATAATATATCCTGGTGCATTTCTGAAAAGTGTACAACTTTTCGTACAAAAAGCACAATAAGAGATAATGTGATCGCTGGCAATATGCAGCAAAAAGAATATACATTATTCAGATGTTTATTTACTGGACTGCTAACATCTAACTGGCGATCACTCACTATTTATCGTCAGGATCGACCAAGAAGTAAGAAACGGAAACTTGTTGAAATACTTTGTGCTGAGAATTCTATATTGTACCAAAAACATAATACTGAATAAAGCTTATAATAGTAATAATAAACAAAAATAAATAAAAATCATTCTGACCTTTATTAAATGGCCTTTTTTAACTTACGAATAACACAATTTTGTAGTATTTATATTGTAACAGTTGCATACGTTCACTATTTTGTTGGAGTTTTGTTCTCTGAGCTGGATGGCTTGGTTATGAAGCTTTCATTGTTCTTTTGAACGACATCATCAGCACAAAATTCAAATAGAAGGGAAATGTTCGAATTTATCCATATCTGACTCACAGTTTGTCCTGTAGATCTCGATCTTCATTGGTTATTGTCAGCCTCTAACTTTTCATTGTTTACTTCTTTATTCTGGATGTATCTCCCATTGATTTGATTCTTAGTCCTAGATTTGTCCATGGTTTTTTTCCATCGGTTGATTAATTCGATCGATTTCAATGTGCTTGTTGATTGACCTTAGTGTCAAGCTTCTAAAAATTCTCTGGTGTCTTTAGAATTGCATCTATCCAAGATCTACGTATTTTTCTAGTCGAATGTGTCTACAGTTGTTTACATGCATTGATATAAGTGAGGACATGTCTTGGCGTTTGACCGCTAATCGATGTTCATGAAGGCGAAGATGAAGAGAGAGTCCATTCACAAATTTTTTTAACATATAACATTGTCAAATCCATTAATATATGCCTTATTATTGGCTTCGTAAAAGATCACAATAATTATGGATTTATAACTGTAGAACCTGATGATGACGTTATTGAAAACAATTATTCCTTTAAATATTCTTTATTTTTCAATATTCTATGGGGATTTTTAAACTGTTGATAGGTATTGATTGACATCTTTGCTTAAATTAACTAATATTGAACCAATTGAAAAGTTTCATTTATTGACCTTGTTTCGATAGGCTTCTTTAACCTGTCCCTGAAGAATAAGGTTCGTGGGACAATCTATTCTGACTTGTCACTAGAACTTCAGATATTAAATTTCAGTTTATTCACCAATGAGCAAGATTATAGTATTATTATATGGGTCTCATGGAGATTAATTGTATGTAATGGAGAATTTGTCAGAGTTTAACTTTAGTTAATGAATTAGTGATAATCATGTAGAACTGGCCAGTAGTTTCACTCTAGTAGGTAACTCCTTGACTTGACGCTACTAAGGTATTTAAAACTAAACTTTCCTGCCTGACGTCTAACAGAAATTCACTACTCAACTACTGTGAAGTTAATAGAAATGATTTGAAAAGTTAGTTTGATAACTTTAAAAGAACTTTATGAATGTGATTAGTTTATATTCATTTTTCTCCACTGTCTGATATTATCCAATATAAAACGTAGATATAGATGATCATCGAGTAATGATGTGACTTGAATTTTTACATTTACCAAAATATGCTATAGGAATAATCGTTTCATTTTGAATAATGATAACTTGATCTCTCAAGTTAATTATCTTTGAATGATATCTACTATTAATAAAAGGGCTAATCTCTATTAAGTTATAATGTAATTATAATGGTTACTAATTTTCATTATTTATATTTCAAACCTGGCTAATGTTCATACCAAGCTAACAAATCTTTATGGCTTATAAATGCGTACATACAGTATAATTAAATTTGTCCTTATTTATGGCTTAATCAACTCAGTTCACTACTTCCTAACTCATATAATCAAAAGAATTTTATTTTAAATGTATAATTGAAATTATAGAATAATTACACATGGTAAACAAATGAAACAAGCAATTAAACCAGGAAGCACGAAAGCTTATCAATTTCCAAATGAATTAAAAATTAGTAATCAACTGGTATGTGTATTCTGTGATAGTTTTCTTTTTAAAGTAAAGATTATAATCAAAAAGTGTTTTGTGGATATTATAGTAATTTAATAGTTGAATGCATGAGTCAATAAAAGCTAGACCACCATGGAAAACCTGGAAGCACTGGACGGCCGTTTCGTTCTAGTATGGGACTAATCATCAGTGCTCAGCCACGATCCCGTTCGCGGAATTCAACCATAGGACCTATCGGTCTCGCGCGTGAGCGTTTAACCTCTAGACTATTGAGATGGCATCTAGCAGTGCTGATATCTAATGCTAATCAATCCACGAAATTGCACCACCGTCCACCATTTTCTTCAGCAAGTTACTATCTCACAATGGACCTGGTTGAACTTTACAGGTCACGTCTTCTCACTAAAACTCTAGGAAATACCTCTTGAAGCCAATCACTAGTGAGTATATGATGATTACAACCAGAAAGGGGTTTTGTGGATATTATGGTAATTTAACGGTTGAATGCATGAGTCAATTAAAGCTAGACTATCATGGAAAACCTCGTTTAATGTTTACATTTAACAATTTGTTTATATGCACATTTATTTGTTTTTATAATGAATACCCATAGAAAAGAAATGAGAAACTTCACATAGACAACTTTAAAATAAAGAATTCATAGGATATTTCGGAGTAAAATAAAGTTAACATAACTTATGCCTGGTACCATGTCTGTTTATATGGCTTTTCATTTCATTTATGGAGTTATGATATTATTTGATCACTCAAGTGATTATTGGTTATTAAATCTTCACACTGATGGTTTCAAATTAACTGCTTTAAATGCAAGCTATCACTGATATTATAAGCGTTAGATCTACAATGAATCTAATGCAAGTTAAATCGATCGTAATATGAAGTTAGACATCATTTTAGGAACTAATAATCTGTACTAAATGCTAAAATGTATTGTTATACTAACATTGGTAATAATATGGTGTGTGCTACTTATATTTACATAAGTAGTATATGATGTTGGTCGTGGACAGGTTTGGCAGCAGAGGGACAAGACGATCGAACAGTAAAGAATGGAAAAAGGATGCAATTTGTATGAAAATGCAAGAACAATGAAGTCTGGGTCATTTTGAGACAATTGATGGACGTTTTGCAAATTACGTATTTACTACATGATTGTTAGATTTTATTAACAAGTCCTGTAATGCTGTGTTAAATGCATTCAATTATCCCCACTGCTTTTTGTTCACTACGATATTACTGATATCGAGGATTAATAATACACTATTTTACAAGTACCTTGGATATGTATGTGGAGTTTCCTAGTTTACTTACTTCTTTCACTGATAACTTTTCCGTGAGACAAATATGGAGCAAATGGTGCTCAACTCAAGTTTTCACATCAAACATCAGCATATTGAGTTTAAATAAATTTAGGGTTAAAAATGATCTATAGCTAATGACTGATAATATAGCTCGTTGATGACTTATGTAATGATTTTAAAACCTGTTATCTAAGAAACAAAAATTGTGGAATATTTTTGCTAAGTTTAATCAATTTTATATTATGCCATCTGGAGTCTCCAGACACTGATTACGATTATTACGCAGACCACAATAAGATAACTCAAAACTCCCAACGATGTTTTCGAATTTACTGTGTCTAGTTTTCTTTAACTTTTATCCTATGAAAGTTGTGATTTAATATAGGGATAGATGATAGTTACATATAAGTGGCACATGTTTCTAGGAGCTCAATCCAAGAAACCTGACAGGCTTATTATTATTCCTCTTTAAATGTGATTTTAGTGTTGTTTTGATTTTTAATATTATTTTATTGTCTATCGAATAAAAGGGCATTTAACATGATTACATGAATAAAGAGTGATAGATATTTTCAATCCTATTATGAAAATCAATAAAGGTGGAAAACTTTAATCATTATGTAATTTAGTGAATACTTGAATTTCTTTATAACAAGACTAGTAGTATTCACGCTAGTCTTATCACACATCGTTCATTTTTAAAAAAAGTATTTTTTTGTTTAAAATAAGAAAGATTTGTCCAGCGAAAAGTTCTCCTTTTGGCGAGTAGTTCTTGAAAACTGTACTATCGCAAATAAATTTGTTTTTCAAGATGATAGTAATTACAATTATAATAGCATTCAAAGTCACCTACAAGGTTAGTAGAAGGCTCTCAAATGCAGTTATATTGCATCTTTATAATATTATCGAATCAATGACTATAAATCTGGAAAAATCAAAATTGTATATCCAAAATATAGTGGTACAACCGCTTCTTCTACCATGATCTTAATCTTTTAAATTAGCTGTGTAAAGTCATTGTACTCATAGTAAGAAATGGAGTATTTCATTGTAGATTCAAACCACTGAAAAATGTCGGTTTGATACTGTTGGGATATTTAGAAAAATATCCCAGAAATTATCCTGTTAAGTCTAATGCTAACCTCGAACGTCAAATGATGTCATTTTTCTATTGGTCAATATTCACGGTAGTCCTAACTGTATAAATATCCATTTGTCTGTAAATTCTTATTCTTCTCCTGACCCCATAAACAATTTCCATCTACGGTTCGTGTTCTGATATATTAGAGATTGGGAACAGTATTGGGTTGTACTGGGATATCTGAAGTTGATCAGTCGGTAGAAATTAGAGTAGCCACCCCGTGGTTCACAATAGATACTCTCAGGTTTTCAACGTTCCTTTATTTGATGATGATGTGAAATGAAAAGTATACACAAAGAAATATCAACTACACATTATATATGCATACTTCATTTTATGATTATATCTGTACATACTTTCCGTTAGGTATTAGTGTAAATTCTACTTTATAATTTCATTGAAATATTTAACATGTAAATAAATTCCTTGCGAACAAATAATTTGTCATCTTTTATTTCCTTCTTTATATGATACAGGCCAAACAAGTCAGTGATCATTATCCAATAGAAATGGAAATTAATTAAACCTATTTTCTATTTATTGTTAAGATAATTATGTTGAACAATGTTTCCTTAATGTTATGGTCAAGGATTTTATGCCTATATTAGTTCATTGTTATTTTGTCATATCATTTTATTCCATATACTCAAAGATGTTGAAAATATACTTATATGCAATACGTTTGAGCTTAAACAATGTATTCTTTGGTATCACAAGTAAAACATATACTTTTGACTTCTGAATTACCTTTAAGTTAAGGAACAGATAAAAATAGAATAGTGAAATAATAATAATACTTATTAACTCACAGAGTAGCCAGCATTTTCTCTATACGATTTCAGATGTCAAAACATTCAGTAAATAAACTACCGTTTTAATGTAAAACACGTTCATCAAGTCTACTCAGACAATTTACATTCTTTTACGTCGTAGATGGGAAATGTTGGGTTTTTTTCTTCAATTAAAAGCAACACTGAGAAGCATTTCAGTTAGAATTTCTGGGAATTATAAGAACCACTACGATAATATATCTTCTAATGGACTACAGTAAACATATATGAATGCGTTTAGTCACTTGTGTCTGCTGCTATGATTCAGAATGTTAATAATACGTATAGGATTTCCTTATCTCAACTTTCAGTATGTTTAATATTTTAAAATGGGAGCACCTTTAAATCAAAATTTACTCAGATCTCCAATACTGAATTGAAAGATTATAAACAATCAGAATGATTTCTAATTTCAATATCCTTGTTAGAGTCTCGTTATTTGGTTTCAAAAATGAAATTGAAGTATATTCTTCAAGAACAATGACATTTACTCGCGTCCACAGTGTTTCGTAAGAGCGCGAATCGACTTTTTGCTAAAAATCATCAAAAAAAGAATATTACTTCGAGTCCATTTAATAAAGTTTAAGACCTAAAGTTCGTAATTTCAAGTTATGTTCACCCATTTCCTTTACATTTATCCTGAATACAGCAAGGTGTCAAATTAAATAAGTTACAAACTAATGTATGACTAAATTGTAATAATTCAATGGAATACAATATCCGATACCATAGCTTCGCCAAAATCACTGTGAATGGTCCCATAAGAATGAATGATATTCTAATACTTCAAATTTGATTGCAAATAATCAGTTTAATGAGGCTGCAATTGATTGTTTGGTACTAAAGATTAAATTAAATTCATTGGCAATTCCTAAATAGTTATGATTTCACTATAAATATAAGTTATTGTCGCGACGCAGCATGAAATGCACAGAACATTTGTTGATCCTACATTTAACTACTTAAACAACAAACAGTAGCATAAAATGTACTTAATAAATTGCATGTTACGTGTGTACGACTAAGGTCATTTCTTAATTAAAATAAGATAAAGAGAGAAATCTCTATAAACAAGTTTTATGAATATTGTAAGTCATTCAGGTTAATAAAATTTATTTCTTCACACACATGATACGAATTTCGAGTAAACACTAAATTCTTATTTAATTTGTATTGGTTTTACGAATGCTCCCATTGATGTTTAGGACTGCAATTGATCAGTCTTTTATTAGCACACGTGCATCCTGAGCGGATTCCCAAGTGCAACAATTATAGGCAGAATTGGATGGTGGCTAGCTGTAGAACTGATGTGTCGCGTTTCGTTCTGCCCTGGATTCTTCAGCTATATTCTATTTGAAAATACAAAATATCACTCAATTTTATGAAAATACATTTCGTCCGTGATTGCCTTTTTTTAACTGAAATGGATAAATTCTTAATGATTCTTAAATTCTTACTTATTTCGAAAGAGTACAACATAGTTAGGAACATATTTATGACGCTTGATAACTTTTAACAATCAATATTCTGTATTCTCAACAACATTTAAAGCATCAAGCAAACGGTACTGAGTTCGAGTCCTCGAATGATACTCAGCTCTCGAGTACAGGTACATAATACTGATGAGTTCGATATAGGACTAAACTTCTTTCTGGAATTCCAATGCTAGTCACCATCTAACCATGCTCATTATTATTTACTCCGGTTACAACTCCTGGATATAGGTTCCCGACCAGTCTTGAGCTCACCTATCTAGTTTATCACCAACTCCACTCGTTCCTTTGATGTCTCCCTCCGATTTCTGGAAAAATGTATTCTTTGATCCGCTTCTTTACTTTTCTTGATGATTTCAAGTTGAGGCTTGGTTTGAGATGCCGAGAGATTTTTGCAGTGTGTCCTATTCACCTCCGGCGTTTTGTCCTAATTTCCTCTCCAAATAGACGTCATAAATTATCAGTGGTGGATATAACGTTGGAAACGTCACTCGCTATTTTCGTTGAGAAAGTACAACAGATCAACATTAAAGTTCTGAAACTATATTTCTATAAGTCCTCACTGAAATCTTAAATAATTAATTACGAGTTTCAAGTCGGACGTTTTTTAAAAATAAAGTATTTTTAGAGTTGAAATTGCATACGCACAAAAACGAAACTACCTCAATTCAGTACAATGGTTATACTGCTCAAAAACTAGTATTTCTTGGTTTATTGGAATTTATGAAATAACTTTATTTCCACGCTCATTTCTAGTGAAAGTGGGAAAACGTAAGTTACATAATTCCTTTGTTTAGGAATAGCTAAATGTTCACTATTTAAAAGGGTGACAGTTTTCTAGTTGTTAGCGAAAGAACACTTTTTGGTAGCTTTCAAAGGACAAAGAACATCCTTATTTTCTTTTTCAGTAAATTTTCAAGGATAGCATGGAACGATGACATCAAGATGGATTCAATTCATAAAATGATTCCATATATTCATTTGTTGTACGTAATAAAAAGAACTCATACTTCTACAAAGAGTTTGGATAACTGTAATACTCTCTATAGGAAGATTCTAATAAGTTGAAAATCAGTTCATAGGTTGTTCGTTTACATACATTTGAGATATGAATGAAGTTTCTGGAAAAGCATAAGTCTTAGGATTATTTTTTCCAAAGTGCGAGCCATTGGGACGTTATCGTAGCCCAATAGATACCTGTCTTCATTTTGATGTGTTGTGATGCATGAAGAATAAAGCTTAGTGTCCAAAATCAAGTAAAATGACGTCAAATTACCCACATTTTATCCAATTAGTTGTGATTTTTTCTTAGGGGATAAATATCCCTCACCTTAGTTCAGAATTGAGTAAGACTAAAGGTATGATCTAACTACTAATCAAAAGTCATCACATCGCAAAACGGAACTCTGTAGAATACTTTGGTAAGATAAACTGATGATTTTTTAATGTCCTTGCAACCCAATACTTTGTTTAGTTTTTGCATATGAGGTATCGACGAAACGGTGCCAGTTAAGGAATCTAATTCACATAATCTGGTTCTCGACAAACAGCAAAAATCATTTGGTTTCTCAGAAAATTGAGATCCCATGAAATGTGATAAATAAAACCAAGTGCATAATTTACTATGTAAACATACCAGCATAGTGTAGTAAACTTCTACATTTATTGAAATACTCTCCTTTTCACCCTGAGATTCAGTGTCTTAAGATGAATTTCACCCAGAAATGTCATCCTATTTTGTTTACCTTTCTAAATTAGTAAACACTAATTGTTAAGTATACATAACTACCACACAGATGAGTAGTGTAGTCTAGTAATAATAACCTAATTGTTACATACTCAATCAATAAGCAAGTGTTTGAGTTTTACATGGAAGATCTAACCTTCTAATTTAAGCTATAGGGATTCAGAAAAGAAAATACTCGTCTTCCTAAAAATGAAATTCTAAGGAACCAGGTAATTTATGTTTGTCATCACAAATCTATTCCTCCTAAGAAGTATATCAAGCAAACGATTTGTTAGTTTGTAGACAGGTGTAGAATAAACGTACATATTCTATTATCTTGTCGATAAACTGGAATATTCATGTTTTTAAAAACTAGATGTGAATGGATTGTTGATTGAAAAAACTAAGTGCAATTAACTAATTTATCAACCCGAAAGTGGATTTCTGGAAGGTCCCTATTAGTAATTATCTTAGTAAATCATCTTAAGGAAAAAAAGAATACCAGGTGACTATTGACGACAGTCAGTGTCATATCAATAACATGACCAACTAAACAGAGTAGATGTGTTTCGACTTTATTTTCTTGATACAATGTTGAAAGTTAGTAAAAGTCAACATTTATTCGTCCATTTCTTGCTACCAGATGAAGGGACTTGTTAGGGTATTTCTGAATTGTTTTTATGTTAGAAAAGTTTTATATTTGTAGTAGTAACAGAACAACCAGTTTCCTAAAGACGTCCTTTACTCCAGAAATAGTCTGTCACAGGCGTGAAGTGAAGGCAGTTCAAGCATAAGACCTGGAATGAATATCAATCATAACTTTTTATCATTGGTCATGTCAGTCAGCTACAACGTGGCACCAAGCACATATATGCATCGGTTCAAGGGAAGACAGAGAGCGTATACACCGACGCCATTGTGATCGATTTTGAGCCTTATCACCAAGAGTCTCCAACCATTGGTTACGTTAGTCACGCGGATCCCAACCAAGTAGTCTGCATCTACCGACATGGCTCAGACTACAAGTTAGTGACTTCAAGCACTGATGCCATGTTTTGGTTTGGCCGCCCCTAACTTCCTTCCAACCATCCCCAACAATGGACAGCATTGAACGTCGTGGTAATCGGTGTTCGGACATATGTAACACGTGGCCCAACCATCTCAGTCGATGAAGATTCACAACCTTATCAACTGATTTACCATCATTCCCTATTACCCGGCGTCTAACCTCACTATTACTTACCCGGTGATCCCAGCAGACGCCAGTAATATTTCTAAGGCATCTGCTCGACTAGCTTTTGCCAACTTGAGTCATTTATGAAGTAGGTGAGATATCCGTCTATCAACCAAAGGACGGGTTTACTGCGCAGCAGTTCGTTCCGTCCTTCTTTATGGCAGTGAAACATGGCCGCTAAGAGTAGAGGATATTCGTAGGCTACTAGTATTCGATCATAGGTGTCTTCGAAACATTGCTCTTATATCCTGGGACCATCGAGTAAGTAACACAGTTGTTAGGAAACGGGTACTAGGTAAGGATAGCAAATCAATTGATGAAGTAGTGAAACTTCATCAGTTGAGGTGGCTGGGACATGTGTTACGTATGTCCAACGACCGACTGCCTCGACGTATTATGTTCAGTGGTAT